GTCCATTATTGTTTTTAATATTTATTAATGACTTGTCTTTTGAACTGAAGTGTTTCCATTTGTTTTTCGCTGATGACCTTAAAATATGCACGTCAGTCAAGACAGTCGAGGATTGCGTCATGTTGCAAGATGACTTAGCTCTAATTTCGTCATGGTGTTCACGAAACTGTCTCAGTCTGAATGTTTCGAAATGTAAAGTTATGACTTATACAAGAAAAGTTAACTATTTAATTTATGATAATTATAACATCAATGGTCAGGTTATAGTCAGATGCACCTCTTATAGAGACCTTGGAGTCATTTTTGATACCAAGCTAACGTTTACTGAGCATATTCTCAATATCTCGTCGGCTGCCACTCGACTACTTGGTTTCTGTATCAGAAACTGGAAAGGTTTCTCCAATGTTGATACATTAATGATTTTATTTTTTACTTTTGTCATGAGTAAGTTGGAGTATGCGACTCTGATCTGGTCTCCTATATACCGTGATCCTTGAGGCCATTCAACGTAAAGCTTTAAAGTATTTTCACCTTAAATGCACAGGTTCTTATCCAGAAAGAGGTTGTGACCATAGTGCCCTATTAGAGTTTTTCAGTTTGGATTCACTGTCAACAAGACGAAACATATTTGCTTTGTCGTTTTTGTATGGCCTCATTCACAATAAAATTGACTGTCAAAATTTACTTGAAAAAATATGTTTCCGCGTTCCAAGGCTAGGGAGTCGACAACAAACGGCATTCTATTGTCAAGCTGGCCGTACAAATGTTATGACAAAATCGCCAATTAATCTCATGTGCTGCGTCATGAACAGTGTTACTGAATCGTGTGATATTTACAGTGACAGTTGTGCATCGATTATTAACTACTATAGATCATCCAATCTTATTTAGAATGTGTGATACTATAGATTTAAGTCCAAGAACCATGTATCTTTAATTGTTATTTTTTTCAGCGTTTCCTGTAATTGGGTTTCACCTGTTGGAAATAAATAAATAAATAAATTAGTGATTTAATTGGATAAACATGTGCCAACCGTCGTTTTCAAAGCCAACTAACCTGGGTTTGACAAAGTTAGTCTATAACATATTATACCTTTTTGAAATCGACACTTAAAACTCTATTCACATATTCAAAAATCCAACATGGCGCCTATAAGAATTAATAAGTTTGATGACTGAGCACAAGAGACGAAACGTCATGTTGAAATTCTAGTTAAAGTGTCAATGTTAATGTGATGGGGTTTTGAAATCCCATTTAAAATAAAATAGAATATTGTGTATGTCCGGAAATACTCGGAACTACGAGTAGAATTTGAAACACCCGGTATATACATCGAAACTTTCCAGCTATGAATAAGTATTTTAAAACTAATTCGTAATCGACAAACTACGAAGGTATAAACTAAAAAGCGATTTTCTTTCGTTTTCACCCGCAACGGCAGAAGGGAGTCTATAACACGAACCGTACGAAGACATAATGTGTATCTGCATTCGAAGTGTTTCATATTTTATCCTAGCCATTTTGTAGCAGACTTACCGCGAACAAAACGGATGACTAGGAAATATGACTGCTTCATCCTCGACGTGCACCCGAATCCTAAGTGATAAATGTGCACAGGTGAACATATTCACGATGAATACAGGGTGGAGTAAGTTACCAGGTGGACCATTTTTCAGTTGAAAAAGTTCTTACACTTCCCATATTTAGATCTGGGGTTGGATTGCAATAATAGTTTAACCCAAGGGAGCATGTACCTGTATAAGCAGCCAAAAAAAAAAGCTGTGATCTTAGATAGCTACTTGCTCCAATACAAAATACAATCACATAATAGAGAGGAAGAATTAACACCAGGTAGACCAATGGAAATCATATACCTAAACACCTTAGGCAAAGCATTAGAAATATTCAATAAACATGATATACTAAATAATATTGGGGAAGCTTATACTAACTGGAAAACAGAATCTACCAGGTAAATATCGCCCACAGCCAAACATTTGCTACAAGGATTTGATGCTTGACATAATACCATGCTATAAACGATTTATTTAGTTTGTTCACCAATTTCAGCACATACATTGTTGTATCAAAAATTAGCCTAACATCATATTTTTGAACATAAAACAGGGCTTGATGAGTAGTAATTGCCTCACTCTTCACGCATAGGGTGCTGTGGTAGGCAACCTATCATATACATACTTGGATTACATCTCAGAAAGCTTGCACTGCATTCGTGCGGTGATATGATCAAGCAAGGAAATTACAAGATGAAGCAGCTAGAACCAACCGCAATCAACTAGGAATTTTAACACTTGGCATTGGAAAATTTGTTCTATGGCTTACTACAGTATAAACTAACATTGACTTAAAATAGTCGCCAAATAGTGCAAAGTTAAATTCGTATGTTCGTTGGCTATTTTGAGGCGCAGAGTTTGAAAATGATCATTTTCTTTGTGAAAACTATTGAATGGTTAGAAAAAATTGAAAATATTAGAAAAGGAGAAAAATAAAATGCATATACTTTTACGTGTATATTGATAAAAAATTAATCGATATTAAATATCTACCTTCACAAATTGTACAGCAGCTATTCAAATTGAAACATTACGATTTAAGGTCACCATTCAGCACATAGTAGAATGAAATGAATCAGGAAATTCCACGTATTGCCAAGACAGCAAAAAAATGTATGCCACTGGTTGCAAAAATAAGTTTCCTCAAAGCCACATTGGATTTTTAATTTTCACGCAGGGTTATTACTATGCCACTGTATTTTTTACATCGGTCCAGTGGCGGCGGAGAAAAACGCTGAATGAAAAAACAAAAATCGCTCGAACTTCATATTTTAAGTTTAAGGGAATTCTGATCCTAGCACAAGTACCGGGCGGATTGCAGTCCAGTTACCATGTTCCCAAAGTCTTGCGTGGATAATTTTAAATCGGGAAGTTTTACATCTTTACCATCAGCAAAATGTGGAACCTTTAATTCTCATGAACATATTTCGTCGTTAGAAAATCCCCGTTCTGTAAGAATTCACTCGTCTCAATACAAATTTTCTAGAAATGTCTCGTGCGGCATTTTCAATGGCCAACTGTTTATGCACGTATTGCCACAACTACTAACTCATACTTAGGCTTTTCTAGAGAATTACATTGAAAATGTTTGATGATGTTCCGTTAGCAACGAGAGTACGAATATGGTATCATCACGACTGTTCCTCACCGCATGTTCGTCGTGACAACCGCATGGTTAAATAATCATGAATTGGCAGAAAGGGACCCGTACGTTGGCCTGCGAGGTCTCCTGAGTTGAACTCCCTGGATTCCTTTTTTTTTGGGGCGCTTTTAAACAACTAGTGTATGCTGAACAAATTAATACTGTTGATCAGTTACAAGAAAGAACAGATAATGCGTTTCATCAAATTTAAGCCACAACAAATTTTGCGGAAATACGTTTTTCTTTATTATCTTGTATCCGTCAGAATGGTGTTTTTTTTTTTTGGAACATTTATTGAAATAAAGCTTTGATTATCTAATTTGTTTTTTTTTTATTTTTACGAAAACAATGCACTCCAGGAAAAAACAACTGTAATCATTTGTAGCTAGTTAAAGGTGAAATTGCACGTTTCGAAAAAACAGTGGCGAACTATTTTTATTAGGAAAAATAATGCCACTAATCCCCTGTATCTCCGCCACTGGTGCACGTTAATTTTAAGTAAAGACTTTTGAATGTAGACAATACTTAGGTAAATCCACATACCAAATTTCAGTTCATTCGAGTTGACGATTTTCAAGATATTAAAAAAGTTGTTTTTAACTTCAACATCTTTTTAATGAAGCGTTAGAGGAAAAAATGTTACATTGAAGACCGCCCTTAAAATGCAGTCCTGTGTATGATGTTTCATTTTTGGTCACGACTTGTGAATCACCCTGTATATCCTGCATCACTGGCGCTTTGCCGCCTGTGACGCATCATGCTTTCAGATATTGGGGAGAGGCGACCAGACGTTGCCAGATGGACGGACATAGGGCAAGGAAAGAATCTTGACTAATTGTACCGACTTGAGCCTAACGTAACTAACTTTTTTAGAGGGTCTAACTTAAACATGCTGCGTTCGTCCGTCCAACCAAAGACATCTGTTTCGTACGATTTTTTTCGGCAACTCTTCAGCATGGTCTCTGGTACAAAGAACGAAAGCATAGCAACTATCCTCTATCCAGGATATAAGGTCTATGGCGCTGTCTTATTTCGATAGGGCCTAACTTGTGCTGAACATAATCCTTTATAGGCAGTGTAGAGTCAACCTACTTGACATCATATTTTAATTTCACATGAAATGTACATCACGAAAAACCATGTCAGTCATTTCCGTCTATCTATTGGTCCCTTAATCATTGGCCGCTCGGATTTTGATGCAACTTTCATACAAAGTTATTACTATGCCAAGGACGAGAAAATCCGTCTAGCAACAAAATACGAAAAAAATAAAAATCGCTCGAACCTCGTTTTTTGGTGTTTCAGAAGCTGATCATTTTCAGAAATATTGATGAAGGGATTAAAAATTGGGGGTTGTAAGAGGTTTGGAGGATACATCTCAATTTTCTGATGTTAGTAAATTTGTACGCTCCGGACCATGTCAATTCTACACACCTAACTGCCATATTTATCATCTCATAGGTTTTCCCTACATTTGGCCTTTACACTTGAATGATAGAGAAAGTGTTGTCGATATGCGTCTCTGCTTCTGCATTCTGGATTCACCGGCTGGCGTGCCGGTCTCTATAAATCTCCTTCTCTTACTACCGATAGGGCAGAGAAAGAAAGTCGTTGGACAAATTGTTTGAGCCTGTTTGACTGACTTGATCCATTTAATCGTGTTGTTGTACATGTTCGTAACTAATTTGTTTCTCAGAGGATCTAACTTGTCCTTTACGAACTGGTGACAGCGTTGCGTGGGAAGTGCAGAGTCACGTCATTTTTTTACTTTAAATAAAAAAAGTTAAACAATACAAAAACTTTTACTACACAATATCTAAACAGCGACAATATACTTTGGTGTTTTGTACATCTCATACGCAAACTCTTCCTTATGATTAGGATCGAACTCCAATCCGATATAGTCGATCTCCAAGGCGAATTCGCCTCCATATCTATCAGCAGCTGTGATTCCAAATGTGGTAACTTTGTCTAGGGGGATCGGGGCTTGCAAGTCCTGGACTCTACCTTTTGACGCCAAGAAGAATTTTGAGAAAGGTATCTGAAAAAAGTAATTCAAATGGCAGAGAGATCTCTCTCTCTCTCTCTCGAATCGAAGTATGATCTTAAACTTATCCTGTAATTTGGATGCTGATAATTCCCCATGTTTGTGTGGCCGAATCAAACCTCATACATGTTAAAAATTCTTCTTTATTGTACGACGGTTTAGTCCCAAAAGTGACATCTTACCTACAATATCTAAACCGCTATAATATACAGGGTGCGGCAGCATCACTTCCTGTTTTTTAAATACACACCACTCAGTCGGTTAACGTCGTAGCGGAGCACTAGTGGTCTCGATAAGCAGGACTATAAAGATTTGTCCCGACACGGTTGAGTCGCCATCATGAGTCAGAACAGTGATGGTCGTGCTTTGCCGTTCAGGCCTAGTTTTCAAGCGGATGTTCTGAGATCATAACCCAGCGCGCCTTTTGGATCGCTTTAACTGTTGTTGGCCACTGTCCCGTACCAGAAAAAATTGTCACATGGTTCACTACGTTCAGACAAACTGCAGGTGCGACAAGACGAAGAAGTGAAGTGCCACCACGACGTACTGCGCGCAAACATGCATCTGCACTTGGACTTTCCGATCGTTCTGTGAGGAGAACTCTTCATGATGATCTTCATTGCCATCCTTACAAGACAACAATATAGTGCAGGAACTTTCTGAACGTGAGTCTTCTCGGATGAACGCGGGTGAGTGGCTTCTCGAAGTCATTCCTGAAGACGGTTTTTCTTTTTGCTGTGATGCTCATTTTCATTTCTGTGGATCCGACAACAAACAAAACATGCGCTACTGGGCTGACACCAATCTTAAAGAATTGCGACTAAAACCCTTGCATTCCCTTGCACTTTTTTCAGCTGGAATTATTGATCCCTGGTTGTTTGAGGACAATGAAGTCGCAGTGACAGTGAATCGGACCGGGATTCCAACAAGTTACAGGATAAGTCTGAGATGTTACATTGTATCGGTTGTATCGGTAAAATGCGTGCTGAGCTCAATATCTTCTAATAGTATGCATCCTATTTGGGAAAATGAATATAGGAAATTCGCAACAACAATTAAACTTTACTTCATTCAGGTCGTTATGAAGCATTTCTAAATATTTTCTGGTAGTTTCGCGACCTTGATCTTGCCTTGGTTATATACGACCAATATATTGAAATAGTGAATATAACAAAAATTTAAATTAAATAAATGTTATTCGAAGATGTTCGCTTTTGTTTTTGTTGTCTGGCAATAAAAACATCTGTTGGTGGAATAATACGAGATCTGTTCGATCTGGCAACACCGGAGGCGCCAGGCTTGGAGGGGAACAGGGGAACATGTGATCCACCTTCAGTACAAGTTTGAACTAGCCCGAGTCATTTGGTTGTCCGTAGCGATCTTTTTGGTGAAACAGATTTTCCTATTGCATTCTAAAAATAAATCACATCAATTTCGAGCAAAGCTGTGCCAGGTTTTGCAAAGTGCAACGGAAAGACTTGTTAAACTTCAGCAGGCCTACGGAGATAGTGTTTTTTCAAGAGCCCATATTTTTCGATGGGTTAAGGCATTTTCAGAAGTACGAGAGTCGATTGAAGATTGTGGGTTGACAGTCAGAATGATCGGGGAAAAGTTAAATCTGACTCACACCACCGTTCATCAGATCAAGACCAATTGGGTGTTGCATCAAGATAATGCTCGCTGTCGCACAGCAATGTCAATAAACGAGTTTTTGGCCAGTGGAAACATTTCTGCTGCTGCTTAGCATCCTTATTCGCCTGACTTCAGGCCTTGTGATTTCTTTCTCTTCCCGAAGTTGAAAAATCACCTGAAGGGAACTAGGACAGGCAAAACAATCAAACGGCTGTAACCGATCCACTGACGGCTATTGCAGTATCCAGTTCCAGCACTGCTATGAGGAGTGGGAGACCTGTCTCTAGCGCTGTGACGCTTCCGAAAAAAGTTATATTGAATGTTTCAATATAAAAATGCAATTATATTTGGATTAAAAAATGATCATCACTTAATTTACAGACCTCGTAGCTCATATCAAGCAAAAAATATAATACACAGAATGTTCAAGATAAAGATGAGATACCTCTGGATCTCGGGAACGGTTAGAGCTGATTAAATGAGAACTTGTGAAGTTTTGCCTCAAAATTTTCCAAAAAAATAAGTTATTTGCTTGGAATTATTTTTCATTACATCAAAAAGGTCAAATTGTGTAAAGCTAGAAAAACATAATTAACACTTACTCTTGCTACTTGCCAATAAGGGCCACCTCTTGTAAACAGTACATAATGATATATGTCGAACCAAGTGATGTCAAAGTACCCTCTGGTGTTGATGTTCAATAAATATGATCTAGCATCTCCTCTAACTCTCATTATTAACATATTGTAGGGAGTCCAGTTCAGGTATGTTTCCCTTTTGAAGGATTTCTGAAATGAAAAATAGAAATACAGGATGCATTTGTTAAGTAATGAGACAGCACCAAGCAGCGACTTGATCGCAAATGCAATGGTATCCAGTGGTTAAAATGGTGTTGGAGGATTATATAAATATAAAAATAAATGTGGAAATCCACGATTTTTCAGGTTTCTCTGTAATAACAAATTACCAGTAACGGCAAATCGGCCGAGTAAGTCTCATTTTGATGGTATTTTCATTTTCAACAATTTTTTTAGACCACTTACACCAATCATTTATAACTATTTGAATATACGCGAGAAAGTGTTTTTTTCCAACTTTGACGCTTAATGTAAAAGTTAACCAGTTAAATTTGTTGTAATACAGCTTATTACAATTATTTTGCTTACAATCTACATATCTTGGTCTTAAAATGAAAATGAACACTACAAAATTATTTCTACAAGTAAAAATACTAATATGATGTACCCCCTAAACAATGACATTACCCTAGGCCTGATAGTCCGAATATTGCAGTAACCTGCTCTTTTGACTCTTCCATCCTTAGGTGTTCTCAAAGAAATCTTTCCTGAGAAAAGTCCTGTTCCCTGACTTTTTAAGTCCAAAGAACAGTTGCTGAAGCCTTCATTATTGTCAGCATCAGCAGTCACAACCCATTCCTCCAGTGCCTCTTTGTTTCCAAACTGCCATGCTACATCAACTTCGCCTGGTCTGTACATCAGTACAGGATCAGCTTCTAGGTGCTCTTTTACCTGAATAAACACGCAGATATGGGTAAAAGTGCTGAACAATTAATAATGAATACTTCATTTTGTAAGCAGGTTTCAATCTCTGCAGGTCTTATCAGTACCTGCAGAAACACACTTGTTTGAGGTACGCTAAATTTATCAATCACTTTTGCTCTTATATATGCTTAGATGGTGCAAATACTGAACCTGAGTTAAAATGGTTAAAAAAACCCTGCAGCTACCTTATGGGTTTCGGCTATATTTTTACTTTCCAAGCCACATTGGCTAGGAGGTACTGTAATTGCGAAAAAATTAAAAACTCTATATTACCTTTTTTTGATGTTATATGATATGTACATCACGAAAAACCATGTCACTTAATTCTGTAGGTATGTCTACTAATCCTTGCACCGACCGCCTAGAATTTGGAAAGTATAGCTCGGATTTGGATGAAACTTTCACACAAGGTTACTACTATGCCAATGACGAAAAAGCTTTATAGACTTTGAAAATCGGTCAGTGGTGAGAGAAAAAAGTCAAAAACAAGATAATAGAAATCTATCAGCCGGATCACGGCACACGTATCGACACGTGACTGGTATTTCCAAGTTTTGTTTTTTTTTTTGTTTTTGGCATTTTTCTGGGCCGCCACTGGACCGATTTTCAAAAAAAATTTGATCGAAATCCGAGCAATACTTCTCAAGTTACAGGCGATTATAGGATTAGCAGACAGACTGACATACAGACACACCGGCGGAAATAAGTGACATGTTTTTTTTGTAACGTACATATCATATAATATCCAAAAAATATAATATCTATCGAAAACTCTTGCGATTACAATATTTCCCCGCCAGGGGGAAGTAATATATCAGTCACACATGCCATGCACCATGGGGTTATTTATGAATATTGCAACTTTAGTATGAGAAGTGAGTGACATATAAAGGTATAAATGCTAGCAGATCTTACCTATATATATATTATATATATATATATATGTGTGTGTGTGTGGGTGAGTGTGTGTGCGTGTGTGTGTGTGTGTGTGTGAGCTGTGGCCATTGTCGTCTAAGTAATCAGTTAGGCGAGAAAACCTTTAGCCTTTAGATAGTTACTTCGACAAAATTAGAGCAAGTGTACTTTTATTACTTTATTTCTCTAGCTTTTGATGAACTTTGTTATCATCACCAGGAGAACGGTAGGTGAGATTGTTGCTAAATATTATTCACCAAATGAATGAAAACACTTGGTAGCCTGATGAAAGCTGAATCCATAGTAGCAGTCATTAAAATTTTGTAAAATACACAGCTACGTGTCAGAAAAATATCACAACAGATTAAAAACTTTTTTTACGTTGTGGAACAAATAAAATTGAGACAAATATAAAATTTATATCCCTTAAAAAGCTGCCTTGACCACAGAATGCACTATTTTTTTGGTGGTAAAACCTCAACCTGCTTCTACTAATAAACTACCAAGAAGCAAGACACTGTAAAGTTGTTGAAGAGCAATATTCAGCAAACTAATACCAAAAGGTGATGGAAATGTATGTATAAATAAGAGTGCTCAGGTTAGTGCTGCTTTCAGATATGGGAATTTGTGTGGTGTCACATTTAACTTTCCATCAAACATTTAGATAAAAAATTGAATCTATATGATTTACAATTTAAAGATATTGAATAAACAAACCAGGCTGACCTCCTTTTGGTTTCAATACCAAGTCAAACATCCTGTAGGTCAATGCCTATTCAAATTATAAATACCTCTTGTGACCACAGCGCTATTTCCTTTTTGAGTTCCTTTAGCCCTTCTCGCATTCGCTCTTTGAACGGTGGGAATTTTCTATCATCTCTGTAGCCTCCTTTGTCATCTGGTTCCCAAAAAGTGTTAAGTATTGCGGACTTTTTAAAGTATTGTTTTTTAATTGAATAAGTTTTTGTTTCGTTGAGAAGCAAACGAGTTAAACTATTCAGATGAAACATTTATTTATAATTATTGGAAAAAATGGACATTAAGAGAAAACCGTTACATAACCTCAAATTATCAGCTGATGAATAGAACAGAAAATGGATCAGGAAATAGATAAATGAATGTCAAATGTCAAATGATGAGACACGTTTCCATCACCACCTTAGATCACCACGGTCACCGCCATCGCCTTTCATCCTTTCTATTCTCACCGGAATGAAGGAAATACGTAACAGAGATACGAAACAGCATGATGCGCTAGTTCGTTGGATAAATAAATATATTTATTTATTATGTTTAGATTAATTAAAGCAGACTAGAAGGAGCCAACCCTATATGCTTACATTGCTTGTTTGTCGCCAAAATTGAGTAGTCTTAGCACATACTTTTGACTCCCATGCCTAAAAAAGTGGCAGCGTTGTGTTAACATCATAATAATACTTACCGGTGGAAACATCTACCTACATTAGGCTTGTGCCGTACTTTGCAATCCATGTTAAAAATAGCATGACTTGAAATCGTGTAATACCACAATTATCTGCAAACATTCGCGCTTTTAAAAAATAACACCTGAAATAGGAATTTAATGACAGAACTGTCAAATAATTGTCTGTGCACTTTGATTCATACTACAGAATAGAGAATTAAGAGACAAACAAATTGTTAACTGACCCTTTTTCCACAGTCTGATTTCGTTGGTCCGAAATTTTTTGAGAACCAGATATAGTGACTTACCGGGTGAAACAGGTTATTTTGAGTTGTGCTACCTATCAACAGATTCAGTCGGTAAAGAGTTGGTGAAGTAGAAGATATATTCAGTAACTGGGCTAAGCCAGACTTCGCTTGCGGCTCTGCAGTTGGCTGGCTTAAAAATGCACTGTTGCTCTATTCTGGTAGGGAAAAAGCGGATCGCAAACAGGACTACTATCAGAATATGAGTGTTAACATATTTGAAAAATGCGTTTCCACTTGATTACAGCCAAATTTGAAACCTGGTATGAAGCATGATATTTCCTTTAGTATGATGTTAAAACAAGTATGTGACAAGAGAATCATCCTAATAGAAGCTCATTTGCTCCATCCAATGTCACTACACAGCTCGTCATAATATAACTTTTCTCAATAAAATTTTGCAGACACTATTGAGCTTTGTTTGTTGAATTTTTGTTTTTTAAATGTTGTCTACAAAGGTTTTAACCTTTACTTATTACATATTTTGGGTTTAGTGTTACAGACTATTTGGTAAAAAATAAAAGTATAAATCGACGATCTTTGCCTTTTTTGCAATATAAACTAACCACTGCAGCAAATTGGATTTACGGTGCATCATTTTGAAGGTCCTTCCATTGCGTACAGACCAGCTGTGCACAACTTTCTCCAGTAGCTCATGCTTTTCTAATATACGAAAAAAGTTGTTTTTCCGTCTTTTTCGCTTAATAAAAAAAAGTTGGCCAGCAAGATTTTGTGTATTTTTCGATGGAGGGCATTTTTTGTAACCCTCAAAAATATAAAACCATTTAATGCATTGTTTTCTAAAATTGTACATAATATCCTGTTCTATGGAAAGCGCTTTAATTGATTTGACTTACAAGAAAGCGCCTAGATATTTGACAGCGTACTTGCCTACTTGCGCTTGTCATTTGTCAATAACCTCACTACGTTATTGAAGCGTCATTAGTGTCATAACTAACTCATAACAAGTGCAATGAATTTTTCCTAGAAATAGCAACAAATTCAGACCACACAAATAAACTACATATAACCCGATGCTGAGTAACGATGACTTCAGTGAATAATGTCGTAACCTGGTCAGTAAATGCATGCCTTGTATGCGGCACCTGTGAAAACCTGCAGCGATGTGCAAGATGTAAAGTGGCATTCTACTGCAGTAAGGACCATCAGCGGAGAGACTGGAAAAAGCACAAGCTAACTTGTAACAAGAAGAGCGAAGTGTCAGCCTCCACAGATACGGTAGAGAGTCGGTACGGTCATATTGTGACCAATCAGGAAGCCAGCCAGCTGCCCACTGAAGGTAGTTCAGAAAACGAAATACTCAGCAGCCTGGCTCAAAGTATCTACCCAACAAGTAGTAATCAGGACGACAGATCTGCTACAGAAAAGGCGCTTAAGTGCTACAAGACAGCAATGCCTATTTCTGGAGAGAATAAGGTATCTATATAAAGATAAGACAATTACACAGCTGGAGAAAAGGAATACAGATGGCAACTGCTTTAGAGGCAGGATTTGTCCACTGGCATACCTGTTATTAGGAGCCCCTTGTATTGACATTTGTGTAATTGTAGAGCATCATGTTTTTAGTAATCACGACATACTAGGAGCATCATGATTCCTTGACCATAAGTTTTGTTCTCCCTAGAGTCCTTTTAGTTCAGAGATGGAGTATCTTGTAGGTCTCCTTACCGCAGGCCTTATAGATGCTCGAGTATACCTTTGCCTTGACCCATTATTCAATCTCCATTCTATGCTTTACCAAAATGGTAATTGTTTTGGGGAGTAACAGTGAGCCAGATTCATCATATATATGCACTTAGTGCAAAATACTTCATAAGCGAGGCATTTGTGTTATTATTACAAAAATGATCGAAATTTCAAACTGTGCAATGACATTAGTTATATTGCAACATGGAACTTTGCATCAGCTTAACTGTATGTTGTTTGATTCAGATACACAGCCCTTAATTGTTACAGTTCCTATAATGATTGGTTTATACAACATTGCATAAGTCATAGTTATATGAGACAATGCCCACTGCACCATATTACCTCATGAATATAGCAGATTTTGTTGGTAATTATGTCTGTGTTGATTGGGCAACATTGCACTATGTGACCATGAAGGTTAGAATATTATGGATGAATGAGAAAATTAAAGGCTTTCAGTGACCAAATGATTCTGGTACCATCATGTGCTTTTCTGTCTCTATCTATGAAAGACACTAAAACCCTCTATCAATAAGTTGCCATGGCAATGTTGACTACAACTGTAGCCAAACTATTATCTTGTAATACATATATGAAATGTAACTGACTGCGGTGGTTTCGGTGACATTATAGATATCATATATTTTAATACAGTGGTCTGGCTATGGATGCTCGTAATGTTGTACGACATCTTAACACCATGTGGATCAAAAATATCGCACCTCAGTCTGACCTATATGTGGTATCTTTAAGCCACATAGTGACAGAATGTGACGTGTTGACTTTTTGCCCCTTAACATACAGGTATATACAATCATTTGCTATATCCATTACATTGAGCTGGGTCCATATTTTTTGATTCTTTGATAAAATTTGTATGCGCAAATCATCACCATTGTCACTATGACTTATTACTCTCACAATAGACCAAGACTGTGTTGCAATTTCAATATTTTTATTTATGGCTCACCACAAATTACTAACCAATTATGGTAGCTAGCTCATGCCTTGGTGTTTGACAAATCACATTAATAGTGCATTTTTAATGCACATTAACTATTTATAATTGGTGTCCTCATGACGTTTCAGTGCCTTCTAGTAATTTGCCTGGAATTTTTAAAGTTACTATTAGACCAGACTCCATTGGTAAAATTTCCTATTAAATTTTATTACCTAATCACCCAAATTGCTCTATAATATGGACCAACATGTTGCATACATGAAAAGTGAAACAACTGTTCTTCAAGTCTCAACCAATCAATAAAGCAATTTTGGTTGCAGTTTTGTTGCTTCAAAGCTTTTACATTTTTATTTTTTCGTATGTTAAGGATTATAATATTATAATTCATCATAAAATCAGATACTCATTACTGAGACCCACGATGTTGAAGCTCATTTTATTAGCCTCAATTTTTTTAATCTCCAGTACATTATTTGAGCAATTATATTCAAGTATGTTAATTGAGATTCTTTTTATATAAATAATGATAATACAATTAGAACATAGCACTCCAGAAATAAATACTACGTTCAAGTGATTGCCAGTCATGTAAGCAAAATAGATACAGAGAGTCCTTTTCTGATGAAGGCGACTAATGTTTGATTCATTTGTTAATTGTGGAAATGTTGCATTAAGGTTTGATATACTTTTTACAGGTGCAACCTAAACAGAAAAGTTATAGAGACTTTCCAGAGATATTATTAAATAACAGCTCAATATCCTTGCTAGATGATACAGAACTGGAAGAAATGTGTAGAAATGTAATACAGGATCTAAGTGCTTATGGGCTGTGCGTTTTAGATGATTTCTTAGGTCGGAAGAAAGGAGAAGCTGTACTAAAAGAGGTAAACATGATCAATAAATATGCATATTAGTTTGATATTTCACTAGATTAGTGCAGTATAGTTTCTGTGGGCTTATAATACGCCTAAACGTTTTCACTGTGACTAAGCATATTAATCCTCTTTTCAGTTATACCTCACATTTCATCTCAAGTGTCTTTGAAATATGAAGTATGCTATTTTACAAATTGTTCATATTGCAAAGACAACTGAGGTAAAATATGAGGTACAATTGAATAATCTACGCCTCCTAGCTGGTATGAAAAACCGTTTTAAAATAAAATATCTTAGAATTGAGTCTAATTGGTACGTTTTATGCAACTATTCATATCATAAATCCTTAGTAGTAGAACTTGAAAATTGTAATGTAAGCCTCCATAATGAATAATTACGACTTTCCGATAAATAAAAAAAATCATATACTTCTATTTAAAATTTTCTAAAACATCAATAATACGCTGACACGTCCACAAAGCACCATCTAGTTGCCACAAACTGAACTAATCTGACAGGATTGAACATTATTCATTAAGAGCGCAGGTGAATACTGTTTCAAACAAAACATAGATCATCAAAATCGGTGCAGCCAAACAAGTTAAGTGACAAAAAAGTTCTGAAATTGAGCTGTCAACATGATAAGGCTATTCAATGAGTATGTTTTTTTGCAAAATAATGGAAGCTGAAAATAATGTCCAGCCATTTCTCTTGATCGCTTTTGTTATGGATTTTTTTAACCTATACCTCTAGGTTGCGCGGTTACCGAGATACAGCCTGCGTTCTTCATTATTATTAGCCCACCCAGTACAGGGCCAATAAGGTAGATACACCAAGTCTATATTTGTTAGGTGCTGGACATCCAGTCTCAAGGACTCTTGAGAAATGGTCAGTTGGTATCTGCAAAGAGCAATCAAGATCAAAGAATCATCAGAGGTGATCAAATATGTTGGGTAGATGGAAAGGAGCCGCACTGCCCGCACATCGGATTTCTGATCTCTCAAGTAGACGCAGTCATTGTGAGAGCAAATAGGATGTTAGATAATGATAGGCTGGGACAGTACAATATTAACAGTAGGACTAAGGTAAGCGATTTTCGTTGCATAATCGGAAACACAAGAATTCAAATAATGAATTTCACATGGAAGTACTTTTAGTTGTAGTAGTATTAGATTTATTAATACAGCATACGTCCAAAAACATTCTTTTATCTTCAAGCAAAAGACAATCCAGTTATTCTCCACGTGGACTCAATTTTCGGATGCTCATTTCCCTACTCCATTCTATAATGTAGATACCTTAAAAACTTGCCTTTAATGGCTTTTTTGTGAATCTCATAGTATGGCCTCCAGGTGGTTGACCCATATTCGAATAATGATCTTACTAACGAGGAAAAATGCTTGACCGCACAATTCAAGTCTATAAGATCACTAGATATTCGAGATGTTAGCCCCACAATGCGATTAGCTGTGTCTATAATACACTGGTATCGATCTGTAAATGTTAGCTTACAATTGAGGTAGACTACATTTACTCTAGGTAGTGTGATGGCTTTGATCAACACAGCTCCTATTACAAGTAAAAATGATATACGAACATTTATTAGTATTCATTTTTAAATTATTCAACTGACACTGGCACTGTACCAAAATAATTATATCTTCCTAAAGCAACTTACATTCCTAACATCTAACACATCTAAAAAGTTTTACATCATCAGCATAAAATAAATAATTTGATTTGAGAAGCTTGCCAATATTATTAACAAGAACAAGGGACAGTTTGGGGCCAAGGTGAGATCTCTGAGGTACACTTGATCCAACAGTAAAATATGATGACATTATATGTCACTCAGCCATTACCTGAATGGTACAGTCTTTCAGGTAGAAAGTTAACCAAGACAGACATAAAACATATGTTTCACAATTATCGAGTTTATTCAATAAAATTTCTTGATCTAGAAGGTCAAAAGCCTTACTGAAATTCGTGTAAATGGAGTGTACTTCATAACCTTTATCCAAAGCATTACTAATAAACTCAGCATATGAAAACATTTGTGACAGTGACACATGCATGCTGATAATCAGTAACTATATTTTTAAAGCAATATTGTAAAACAGGCATCACTATTTCCACCATAATCTTCCATATTACAACTATCGCCAATTTTAAATATTGTAAAAAAAATGTTTCTACCTGACAGAGAAAGCACCGTGTTTAAGTGATAAATATAAACAATATGGGTTCATATACCCGTAATGACACAGCACATTCCCTAAGAATTAATATTTGAAAAAATAACCGGACGTGGCTCTTTTCTACAATTTAGGCCTAATGTCTTATTAAACAAATTTTCATATCTCACTTAGACTTTCGGCCATATCACATCCCTCATTGGTGAAGGGCGAGACTTCCGCGCTTTTTCTCCTGAGAATGAATCAGAGAACGACTCTTCTATTAGTGCACAGCTCCCTGAAAATTAATACAACCACACTCATTCTATCAGTTGTTTTACCCCCTCGTGTTCAAGAATTGACCCCCAGTTTGAGAACGGCGGATAACCTATTTGAATGAATGTTGATAAAGTCAACCTACTATTTCCTGCAGGCAATGGTTGCATGTTATCCAGGACACGGTTCACACTACGTAAAACATGTCGACAATCCTAACGGTGATGGTAGATGCATAACGGCCATTTACTATTTAAATCTGGATTGGGATGTACAAGCTAGTGGAGGACTTTTGCGAATATTTCCTGAGGGATGGAGAGAAGACAAGGTAAATGCTTATTGTCATGTATGTATTCTAAAACTTCAATCGACTATTAATTTGTGATCAGGATAAATGGAAACATTAATCGGGTAATGGTGGTTTTCGAACCCCCAGGTCTGTTATTGAGCAGTGGCTTTTTTCATTTATACCTCCACTGTGAACGTATTTTTTTAGATGCGGAATGAACATGTTTATACTTACATCTCACTACCTTTTCTTATCGCACATTCAGCCCGTAAACTTTCGACTTCAATCGCTGGTCGACTACCAGAACTGTGTAAAACTAAAAAGACGTGTGGAGATTTGAAAGATTTCCAAGTTCTTTAAAAAAAAATTTACATGATTTATAAAAATATTTTTGCTTCTAAGACATTAGCACTCTGGGCTTCAATAAATAGCCGATGCAACCATTCTTTTGTTCCTAGCCTTAGGAAAAACCTACGAGACGCACTTATTCACAGCACTCTCTTGGCTACTTAAATATAAAAACAGGACATATAAATTGGGTAGTACAAAGGGTATGTCTCTTGTGAATGAAGAAATATCTCACGACTTTTTGCCTGAAATTCTGGATCACCTAACAAAGCATATGTCTCGAAAAATGTACTTTCCCAACTAGCTTGAAAGAAGCTGTTATAAAATAATAACCCTGCTGAGTGACTTCAGACCAGTCAGTATCTTGTTTTCCTTCTAAAATACTCGAAAAGATAGCCTATATACAGCTAATTGAGTATCTTGAACTTATCACTACAACAGTTTTGCTAATCATTATGAATAATAGGTGTATAATCAAGAATCTAGGTGATCGAATTGGAACAATATTGGTAATGCTTGATTTGTCTAAAGTGTTTGACACAGTCAACCACCATTTTCTTCTGAATAAGCTAAAGTATCTAAGGCCCGTATCGTCAGTCGTCCCTACAACTGTAGGGCTCGTTTATGGCCTTCTTGATTTCGATAATATTACGTCTTCTTCGTTAACGTACATGTATGTCCTCCTTTTGATTTCCAACATACTGACAGTTCTGGCTTGAGGTTATTTTGACGTTCAAGACACATGACAGCAGAACCATAATTTATAATTTTCTTGCAAATAATTAATAATATCGATCACTCAAAAATACCTCGCTACATTGAACAAATTCCACAACCTGTGGTATCTTCAAGAAATTGTTGAGTTAGGAAAATTAATGCATATGGATATATTATATTATATTTTTGTGTGTATGAAAGTCCAGAAGCTTACAACCAAGCTATTCTCTTGATGGAGGTTGGTAAGTTGTAAAACAAATCATTGCATATCCATATTATATACTTATCGCATTATTTTCAGGTGTGATTATTACAGACTTTATGAGAAGTTGGTTCCTCAGTAAAATGCTATGTTTACTTTGGAAGGATAAGGAGGTGAATGATCTTTCTAAGAAGGAATTTATTCATCCAGGCATAATTGAAGGAATCTTACAGAAACAAAACGTGAATTTGATTTATGTGACCGATATGATGTGTTACTCTGCAATTTGTTAATTAAAGCCTGGCATAAACCTGTATGATCATAGTCATAATGATAAGAATTAACACTTACGAACTTGAAGACAAGCTGTGTTAAGCAAGTATGTATAATGTGTAAAGGTTCTGAAGTTGAGTCCATGGTAAATTGACAATCATGATTTCAGGATATTAAAAAGAGCATGGGTATGTAGGAGCACCAATTATGAGACATTACAAGGTGTAAATGGGAAAATGGAGTTGCAGCATGGAGTTAAATTCTTCATTACTTTGTACAAAAATTGGCCATCGAAGTTGCACATACCTCCTTCATCTTCTGGCCTCCCAAAATACTGAACTGCAACGTCGCATTAGCGCCTAAGGTGGTTAAGCAAGTAGTGGCGAAATGATATGGACTATAGAAGAGTAGCGTCACTGTGTCGTTAAAACATTTTTTGGCGAGGTGTCTGAAATTACATTGTGGTATACCAAATCTTACATGCAGTTAAACTGTGATGTCTGTAATATAGCAGCTAGTCAGGAGGAAGGTAAACATCCAGAAATGAAGGTCACCTGAAGGTAGTTGACCGCAGAACACTGGATTGAATGATGTAAAGGCGACTATTGTGATTCTAACATATTTGGAATTTGAGACATCGTCGCTTAAGTTGTACGACCACTAAACGCAAAGAATAACTTATGTATTTGTTTAAAAAAGCCACCGTGATTGCCAGAATGTCATCAGTAGGCACTATTAGCTTATGAGGTTTCATTTGCAACTAGACAAACATGGAGGATTATAAGATCATTCGATAGCGACTCCAAAGGCCCACCGTTCTTTTATGCTCTCCTAAAAAGTTGTTAGTTTTAAGTTACATCGTGCAGGAACTCTTTTTATTGAACAACTAAATTTTTGTGATTCATGACTGGGTAGTACCAAAAAGAAGAAAATACGATACAAGTGTGTTATTTAGTTTTGCATTCCACGTCAATGATTATTGCCAAACATTTCCAAAGTAGATCGTTCAAGTATATTGCGAGAAAATAGATGTGATGTTCCATTTCTTTATTTAATTTTATACTCTTCAGTCTACATTACTCATGTTCCCTGAAAAACAAAGTGATTGTTTTCATCTACACTGAAAAAGCTTTTAGGATGTAAGCACACAGTTTGAAAAATCTGCTTTCTTTTCTGGTTACTAAGTTTTGCGCCCTTACACTCATTTTCAAACTTGTGAGCGAAGAATAATCCATTCCAACCTGTTAGAATCAGTATAGTAGTTACTGATATTGCACAATGTCAAGGAAACCAGAACGACAGGTGGGTTATCGCCAATGGGTGGAACGCTAAAGCACTCTATTTTTCAAGCCTATTTTCCAGAAAATGCTATTTATCATATATCGTCTAGACAGAAAAAATAATAATATGTATTACCCTGTATAAACTCAATTACTCTATGACATGCCAAACTACGCATTACTCTGTTGAAATCAATAAAATTAAAAGTAGGGAACCCATTCAGGTGAACGATCCGCCTGTAACCTTTCTTCCCTTTATTTGGATATCTTGGAGGCCACCAGGCAGTAAATCATTAACAAAAAAAACCTATTGTATACCGGCATGTGTGTGGGTGTATCTATGCAGTTGAAGGGTGGATGTAAAGCTGGACATACACGCTAATAATATACTTGGCAGCTTGGTTAACTAACTATTATGGATATTCAGATTCATGATTCCACCACAATATGATCTGTATGAATATTTTGGTGAACAAATCATAATCAACTGTCTCTATCCACACTCCGCCGATACACGACGCGAATTCGTACCTAAAATCTCCCAACGTTTGAGAAGCCGGATTCCAGCCAGGGCCTTTGATTTCTTACCTTTCGTCTTTCACTCATACTCAAATGGTCTATAAAATGCTCAAGTTGATGATTCCTTTATTACCAACGGCATATAATGATATATCAATTTTCCTATTTTTAAATCTTCAGAATACAACACTTGAAAATACGAAATATACATACTCCTTAAAGTGTTTTGAAGGGTAGTCCATGTAAAATTTCTCTAAGAATTCTAGTTGCTGCGCTCAAAACTCTTATTGTTATTGTAACCTGTTTATCGCATGTCCTTTCGGTAAACATTACATTATGTTTAGCTTTTGCTCAGACGGCGGTAAAGGAGATGAAAGAAATAAACCGGCAATAAATTATACACGAAAAAAGAGGGGCGATCTACATAAAGACAGGTCGCAGAACGAAGTGTTTCTGCTCCCCTGATTTTTCATTGCCGACGGTCTGCTTAATAACTGGTCAGATCCCAAACAGACATTGACAGATGAATTTTTCTATGGTAGGTCAAATATTTGGCATTCAAGCCAAAAACGTAGGTTGCGTAAACAATAAATTATAATCCATCAGCTCATTGTTATAATAAGGTAGTGAGTGGTTCAATAAAAATTCAAATGATTATGGAGTATATATAATATAGTATAAAATAATAAAATAAAACAGTCAATTCCATGCAATTAAAATAAAAATAATATTCTTGAAAATAATAAATCAATCTAGAATTCTCAAAAAAAAACAGTTTCTGTATAAATCCATAAACAAAAGTAACAATTAAACAAAAGCATTCTTACAAAAATCTAATACGGGCCACGTAGCATTCTGAAAAAAAATACATATTGTTATTCAAAATAGATTTCCAGCATACATACAATGTTTCTATACTATACACTGAAAGTGTACTATGATCAGAAAGACTGTATAATTTACCGACTTATCAAATTGATCTGCTATCTCCGCGCTGGATATACCCATCTCATAACATTTGATGATCATTCGTCTCTCACGCGGGGTTGTTTGTTGTCGAGACATTTTCTTTCTTCTACAACACTATTGCTCTCCAGAACACTCATACAACAACCGATTATCCATGCTAAATCCACTAAACCTAAGAGTTAAATAAAAAAATATGACTTTTTTTCTAGATACTGACAATTTCTTTGTGAGCCAAAAACGCAAAATACAGCTTTTGTCTTTGAGGTGCCGCGCCGCCGACTGCATAAGCGTACCCGCTGGTTGTTCCACTTGCACGTTCATAAGAAAAAATTACATGGATTAATCTTAATACCTATTGAAATTTAAAATACTATTTTGTTTCTCAAATGTCTGGTAATATTTTATGACTAAAAACAGGATAGTTTCTTTGATTAATGCATTAATTTGTAAATTGAATCAAGGACTTATTCATTTCTTATTTACTTCGTTGCCGCCGCTGACTGTGTGCAATCCCAATGATATTAGAAAGAAGCGCGGAACTCTGAGCTAGACCCACAGACCCCACGCCTCTGTTCCTATTCTGGTATCGGCACACCGGCGTATTCATGGGAGGGCTTTGGGGCTCCTCGGAGTCTACCCTCCCGAAGCGCAACAGCTCATTACGCTTCTTCTACATATTACAGCATGTTATACCTTCTGTGAAGTGTAGCTAGTAGCTGCCTGGACTAAGC